GGGGGAGAGAGAGAGAGAGAGGGAGAAGGAGAGAGAGAGAGGGAGAGAAGACCCGCGGGTCGGGTCGAGTGAGAAGCGAGGGCAGAGGGGAGAAGGGGGAGGAAGGAGAGAGAGAAGCCGCTGCGGAGGACGACTGGTTGCGGGTTCCCGGGGCTGCGGGTCCAGGTGGGGTAGGAACTGCTGTCCGGGGAAGCTAGAAGGGAGGGAGAGCTTAAAGAGGGGCGGGGAGGAGAGGGAAGAGAGGAGAAAGGAGAGGGGGAGACAGAGAGAGTGGGGAAAGGAGAGGCTGAAGGGGAGAGAGGAAACTGCCGGAAGGAGAAAGGAGAGGGGGTGGGGGAGGAGGAAGAGGAGAGTGTTGAAGGAGAAAAAAGAGGTAGAAGGAGAGAGAGATAGAAGGGAAGAAAGAGAAAGGAGGGTTGGAGGTATTTGAAGGAGGTGAGAAAGAGGGAGCTAGAAGGTGAAGAGAAGACCTCAGAAGGAGACAGAACCAAGAGTGGGAAATGTGGAGGGGAAACAGCCCAGGGGGTAACCCTGGAGCAGCCACAGAGGGAACCGGTGGAGAACTGGGGGGACAGGGGAACTGGGGTCTGGAAGATGCCCCAGGCCTCCTGGCCAGGGCCTCCCTGCCCATCGTGCCTGCGTGGCCATCGCCCCTGGCCTCCTCAGCCCTTACCGTGCTCCTTGGAGCCCTCACTTCCCTTTTCCTCTGGTACTGTTACCGTCTGGGCTCCCAAGACATGCAGGCCCTGGAGGCTGGGGGTCAGGCTGGGGGTGTCAGTGGAGGGCCTAGGGGATGCTCTGAGACTGGCAGGCCAAGCCCTGGGAGCTCTGGGGAGCCTGGGGAAGGACTCAGGACAGAAGGCCTAGTGAGCCGTCGCCTGCGGGCCTATGCTAGGCGCTACTCCTGGGCGGGCATGGGTAGGGTGAGGAGGGCAGCTCAAGGTGGTCCAGGCCCTGGGGGAGGGCCAGGGGTCCTGGGCATTCAGCGCCCAGGCCTGCTTTTCCTGCCAGACCTGCCCTCAGTCCCCTTCGTGCCACGGGATGCCCAGCGGCATGATGTGGAGCTCCTGGAGAGCAGCTTCCCTGCCATTTTGCGGGACTTTGGGGCTGTGAGCTGGGACTTCTCAGGGACAACTCCTCTGCCTCGGGGCTGGTCCCCACCCCTGGCCCCTGGGTGCTACCAGCTCCTGCTGTACCAAGCAGGCCGGTGCCAACCCAGCAACTGCCGCCGGTGCCCGGGGGCCTATCGGGCACTGAGGGGGCTGCGGAGCTTTATGAGTGCCAACACCTTCGGCAATGCTGGCTTTTCTGTCCTCCTGCCTGGGGCCCGGCTTGAGGGTCGCTGTGGGCCCACCAATGCCCGGGTCAGATGCCATCTGGGTAAGTAGATGCTGCCTACAGACAACCTCTTTGCCTCCACGATTCCTCCTCCAGACTTTTCTCTGCCACCAGAGCTTTCTACACTATGGTTCTGATCATGCCTCTCTTCTCAGAAATCTTCCATGACTCCCTGTTGCCCACAGCAGCATTTCCTGAGCTTCAGTTACCTGCGAACCATCTTCATAAGCTTTGCCATGGTCATTTTCCACCTGTACTGTTTTTCTCGATACTGATTCTCCCTACATTTTGTCTCGCTTATTTAAAAGGAATCTTTAGAGAACAATGATAAACAGTATTACTTGCTCCAAATAGAAAGGACTCATAAAAACAAATTTAAACTTAAAGAAAGAAGCAAGCTTTAAAAATCCCAGCCAAATACTCTAGTCTCTCTGAGGCTGAAGCCTCCACTCTGTTCCTTTAGAAGGGAGCAGTGTTGGTGGGGTGTTAAAGTTATGGTAGCACCAAACTGAGATTCTCTTCATGTTTTAAAAGCTGAAAGAAAATGGAAAAGGAAACATTTTTTGTTATTTAATGTGCTGTTACTTAAAACCTTGTTTTGCCTAAAAGCATTTTGTGTGCTACCAGTTTGACATGTCCTTCACTTCGAAGAACACCGGTCTCAGGATCAAGTCCAGATTCCTTCTCTCCTCATCTCCCACCAGTTCCCGTCCTCCCCTTCCCTCCCACCATGTGTTAAATCATGAGAGCTTTCTGGCTGATCCTGGCAGATGCCACACTCACGCTATCCTCAGTCTAGAATCTCTTTCTCCCTTATCACCTCCTGGAAAAATCCTACTCAGCCTTCAGGACTCCACTTTCAAGTGCCGCACTGCCTCTGGGAGGTCTATTCCCCATCATTGGAGTTGGTGCCCACTTTTCTCACAGCACTCTACTGTGTTGTGGTCCTGGGGCCAAAGTGGATCCATCAGTATTATACTAATGAGGGCCAAGCACACATTAAGTAGCTTCTTGAGTTAAATTGGCAGAAGCCCAAGAAAAGCTGCCACTTCCTCCAGGGAGCCTTCCCTTTTCTCTGAAACAAATATTGTGCTTTGCACTGCCTTTCCTGTATCTCCCAGCACTTCAGCTGCTACTATATCGTAATTACATTTGGTTCACCTTCCAGACAGCAAAGAGGGACACTACATGGGATGCTTAAGACTTGCAATTCTGCATTTTGACTAAATGGGGTGGGCCCATTTGATGGAAGCAGGGGTGTTGGATGCCTGGGTCTCTTTCCACAGGCCTGAAGATTCCTCCTGGCTGTGAGCTGGTGGTCGGGGGAGAGCCCCAGTGCTGGGCTGAAGGACACTGTCTACTGGTGGACGACTCCTTCCTGCACACAGTGGCTCATAATGGTAATGGGCTCCCGTTCTGCTAGGAGGGATGAGAGACTGAGTGAAAGGGAATAGAGACTGCAGAATCAAGCCCAACCCGCTTCCTGTCCTAGCACCATCATTTTCCAGCTGCATGACCTTGAACGAGTCCTATAACCCCCAAACACCTGTGAAATGGGGCGATCACCTTCTTTATTGGGTGACTGCAAGGATTAAATAAGTTAATGTAGGTGCATAGCCAAGTGGTTAACAGCACAAGAGTCTGGGCCTGAACCACCTGGGTTCCAGTCCTACCTATGGCACTTACTAGCTGTGTGATCTTGCGCAGGTTATTTAATCTCTCTGTGCCTCAGTTACTTTGTATAAAATGGGAATAATTGTGGTACTGACCCTCGTTTGTTCTGATGATTAAGAGTTAACACATACAAGGGGTTAGAACAATGCCTGGCACTTATTTACAAAGTGTTTGCTGTTAGGAGCACCTGGCGAGTGCTCTGGCATGTAAGTAATTAATGTCAGCTGCTCTCTTGTCTCCATCCCCATGTGCCCTAGGCTCCCCAGAAGATGGGCCTCGAGTGGTCTTCATCGTGGACCTTTGGCACCCCAACGTGGCTGGGGCTGAGCGCCAGGCCCTTGACTTTGTCTTCGCACCAGACCCTTGAAGGAAGGGGCTCCCTTCAGACATCTGGGCTGGAGAGATGCTGCACTCAGGGATGGCTTGAGTGGTAGCCAGGACCGCCTCTCCACTGCAGGGGGTGGGGTGGGGCTGCGGGTGGGAACGGACCAGCCAACACTGAAATACAGATTTTAAATCCTCTCCTAACTCCTGACTACCTTTTTCTAGCTACCAGCCCAGTTCAAGGCTTTGGGCAGGAGCTCCTGGCCTGTCCCATCCAACTAACCAAGTACCTCCTTAACACAAGCCATCTCCCCGATCCTCTCCCTCAGAGCCAGCACCAGACCCTCAACTCAACTTTATTCCAATAATTTAATAGAAAATTAAAATAAATAATATGAAATAGATTGAGAAGATGGCTGAGCTGGTGCAAGCCCAGGCCAGCCTAGTAC